TTTTTTTTTTTCATTTGTTTGTTTTTGTTGAGAATTGTGAATGAATCGTGAGTGGTGGTGACTGGTGAAGCATGATTTGGCAGCAAAAAACGTTTGGTGAATTGTTGTTGTATTTTTTTGTATTTTCGATATTGAATTCAATGTGAAATTTATCGTATTTTCGGAGAAAGGCCAATTTAACCAAAAATTAATATTTGCCCCATAAACTATTTACATATTCCAATCATTATCAACAAAATCGTGCGGCCAAACACAACTCGTCAAGCCCCACCACTAACCCGCCAAATCCCGTTGACCGAAGACCAAAGAATGTCCATTAAAATCTATTAAACACACACATAATCATGTTCTCCCCCTTAATAATTTCCCCATTAACATTCCAAAAAATAAAGAAAAGTAAAAGAAAAATGAAGCAATCTTCATCTTCATCGTCCTCGCGGCCGTCCTCCGCCGTGCTCCCCTACCAAACGCCGAGGCTGAGGGACCATTACAACCTTGGCCGGAAACTAGGACAGGGCCAATTCGGCACCACTTACCACTGCGTGGAAAAGGCCACCGGCATCGAGTACGCCTGCAAATCGATCCCCAAGCGCAAGCTTCTCTGCCGGGAGGACTACGACGACGTTTGGAGGGAGATTCAGATAATGCACCACCTGTCCGAGAATCCGAACGTCGTCAGGATCAAGGGGACGTACGAGGACAGCGTCTTCGTGCACCTGGTTATGGAGCTTTGCGCCGGAGGGGAGCTTTTCGATCGGATTGTGCAGAAGGGTCATTACAGTGAGAGGAAAGCCGCGCAGCTTATGAAGACGATTGTGGGTGTGGTCGAGGCGTGTCATTCTCTTGGGGTGATGCATAGGGATCTGAAGCCGGAGAATTTCCTGTTCGATTCGGCTGACGAGGATGCGAAGCTTAAGGCGACGGATTTCGGTTTGTCTGTTTTTTACAAGCCAGGTATATGGTTATGTACTCGATTTATGTTTTTTTTTTTTTTTTGGTTGATCCATTTGATTTCTGGTTTTGAGCTGATTATGTTGGGAAAATTAGACATGGGTTTCTGTTTTGTGTTTTTCTATGTTAGTTTTGTGGATAAAGTTTGCTGCTTTTTTATCTGTAATCGGTTTTTTGGGTGATGTGTGATCTTTTTTCTTTTAATGGACAATGTGAAGAGTTCAATGGTGCACTAGATTAGCATTAGCATTGTCCAGCTGCAATTGAAGTGCAGGATATTATATTATATTATACTGTGTGAAAATTTGATTTCTGAAAATGTTCAAATAGGGCTGTCAATTTCGATCAAAATGATCGACTGTCTATGGAGGTGCTGCGATATAATCTAGGCTGCAGTGTGTACTTTGTGTGTATCGGTTGCAAATCCTTGTATTTGTGACTCAAGGAGGCGAAATAAAGTGAATCTTATACATAACAGTAGAATTTTGTTGGATGCTACAAAAACGAAAATACCCGTAAATGTTCAATAATCCTGTAAAAAGTCGGACATTTTGTAAAAAAATATCATGTTCAAATAACTAGCCATGTTGCTGCTTAACTCCATTTTTCCAGGTCATTATCTTTCGGACGTAGTTGGAAGTCCTTACTATGTTGCACCAGAAGTGTTGCACAAATACTATGGACCCGAAATTGATGTATGGAGTGCTGGTGTTATCCTCTACATTCTATTAAGTGGGGTTCCACCTTTCTGGGCAGGTAAATCCCTTTCATTTCAATCCTCATACTTTGAGTAATTTGTTAAATTTACCAATATTAATCCAATTGCAGACCCCCCTTCACAAATACTAAGATAGTATTATTTGGATGAATCTGAAGGGTGTTTTTGTAGTTAGCCCAAATATTTATTTGCTTATTTTTTCTTCTCAGTGCTTTGCTTGAGCCTAATAAATCATTTTAACTTGCAGAAACGGATAATGGGATCTTCAAACAAATTTTGAAAGGGAAGATCGATTTTGAATCCGACCCGTGGCCCCAAATTTCAGACAGCGCAAAGGATCTCGTAAGGAAGATGCTCGACAGAAACCCCAGGCAGCGCATCACTGCACATCAAGTCCTATGTGAGTTAAATTGCGGAATACTACTCTTAACTGTAGTTACAAAAGAGCCCTATAACCCTTACAAATAAGATCAGTATGTATCTATTAGATGAATACAAAGTCAAGTGGATGTTTAACAATATTTAGGGATAATGATATAAAAATTGGGGTATTTATTCTATGAATAAGCTGAACTAAATTGGCAGCTTTGGACTTGGACATGTAATTTGAATTGGAAGTGAGTATCAAGTGTTTAGTTTTGATTACTCCTTATAATAACAAAATTGGCTCTTGTTAAACAGGCCATCCTTGGATTGTGGATGACACCGTTGCACCAGATGAACCCTTGGGATCGGCAGTGTTGTGTCGGCTGAAGCAGTTTTCTGCCATGAACAAACTCAAGAAGATGGCTCTACGTGTATGTTTTCTCGAATTTTTTCTTTCTGTGAATTTTTATTTGTATCTGTATTTTCTGTGGTTCTTTGAATTAAATTGCCAAAAAAAATAGATATTGTCAAGTGTGACATTAGACATCCTCATTATACATATACAGCTGTGATCACGACATTATGATTTGCAGATAAGCCTCTATATAATTTTGTACCGAAAAAAAAAACAACAGACTTAGTTGGGAATTAAAAAAATTTGCTGCGAATTTTAAGGGTATTTTTTCGAGCAAAACAAGGTACGTAGAAGATGTCTATATAGCAAAGTTTCTCTGAAAAAAAAAAAAAGAATGAAAGTAAAAATTGGTGACCAATTGGCCTAACTTGAGAACTTGAATAAATTTACACCTTTTCGGCAGGTTTATGCTTCATTCAGAACTAGTAGTTTCACCCCCTTGAGCCAGACTAGAAATAGCATTTTGCTTAGGTTTGAAGATGGCTTTACTTGACGTGCAGTACTTGTGAAAATGTCCATGCAGGTTATAGCAGAAAGACTTTCAGAAGAAGAAATTGGCGGATTGAGGCAATTATTCAAAATGATAGATACAGACAACAGTGGAACAATAACATTCGAGGAACTCAAACAAGGTTTGAGAAGAGTAGGCTCTGAACTAATGGAATCCGAGATCAAAGCGCTAATGAGTGCGGTATGTTTCTTCTTGAAAATCAGAAAAAAAAAAAAAAGGTGTACTATTGAAACTTAGCCTGATTACAAAAGAGCACCTTATATATAAACTCTTTTTTTTTCTTCTTTTGTGATGATCCTTTTTCATACAGGCTGACACTGACAACAGTGGGACTATAGAGTACGGTGAGTTTTTAGCAGCAACCTTACATATGAATAAGATGGAAAGGGAAGAAAACCTACTTGCTGCATTTTCCTTCTTCGACAAAGATGGCAGCGGTTATATTACCATCGACGAGCTTCAACAGGCTTGCAAAGATTTTGGCCTTGGAGAAGTTAAGCTAGACGAAATTATAAAAGAAATCGACATAGACAATGTAAGTGTCATGCATTTACTGATTGGACGCGAATCATAAACTTATGTTGATTCCACTAATTAAGTTAGATCTATATACCAAAACTTGGAATACTCATCAATTTTCGTAATCATAACTGAATACATGTTTGATACAAGTTTTTGTAGCTATTTGCAAAGTTAAGAGTTGAAATCGTGAAAATGTTCG